TGTGGTGCTTCCTGTAACTGGGAGCATTACATCAATCGGTGTTGATTTTATCCCTCCAGTAATAAGTCGAAATGCTTGGTTTTGTGCCTTCTCGAGTGGTTTGGGAGTCACCTTTGTGGCTGTAATGAGTGGCTCACTGCAATANGCTAATGGGTTCATGGTGAGAGGGAGGCTTTTTGGTTTGTCATCGATTTGTAATGCTTTCTTCAGTTCCATGGCTTTCTGTATTAGACCAGATTGAGTTTTCAGATGTCTTGTTCTATTCTCATAGGTGCTGAAGAACCTATCCATGGCAATGCGCAGTAGCTTCAGATACATGATCAAGGCCTTTTCTTTGAAAAGGGAACATATTGCGGTGCTTCCCGTAACTAGGAGCATTGCATCAATGGGTATTGATTTTATCCCTCCAGTAATTAGTCGTAATGCTTTGTTGTGTGTCTTCTCGAGTGGTTCAAGAGTCACCTCTGTGGCTGTAATGAGTGGCGCACAGCAATACAACATTATTGTCTGAATAAACATCTGTAAGTGGTGTTGAGAGTTGAGCGTGCACAGCCCCATACGCTACCAGCAAGAGGCTTCGGTATATTCACTCTATTGGAGACTCGTTCTGCTATTTTTGCAATGTGACTTTTCCACGTTAGTTTTGTGTCAAACGTCATTCCGAGATATGTGATCTCATTGGTTTTTTATGGTAGTTTCCTTGTACCTTGAAAGCGGTTTAGTGCTGTGATGAGCCAAAGAAAAAGTTTGAAATGCAGTTTTTGCAGTGTGCATAACCATTCCATTGTTGACGCACCAATTTGCTAGTCGTTATAGTGCACAATTTAGGGCGCACAATACCAACTCAATTTCAATTTGATTTTTTTCTGTCTCCATTAGCAGAACAATTATTTTCTATTTAACTTAAATACATTAAAACTAGATGCACTTATATAAGCTTGAAGCCGATAAAGCTATAAAAATGCTTTTATTACTCTACTCATTCCCTCTAGAGCACAATGGATGCTAAATTACAATTAATTATAAATTGGAGTTTTACTTGAGGCTCTAATAATGGATGTTTTTTTTTTCGTAGGCTGAAAATATTAAAGCGCGAGCATTTGCTTTCTTAGCACCGATTTGAAATGAATTTTTCATAATGTGCAACACAGAGACTAAGTGAATTCATTGTCTCTCATTGAAATTCCAACTTCCAAAAGGACGTTGTGTGCTTAATAGTGGATACACAGGTTGGTTACCAATCATTACTGAATAAACGGCTCTTTTATTTAAACCGATAATATATATTGTGTTAACCAAAGCAAATGTACGAAAGTGATATTCAGGGTTTCAGTAGATCAGAAAGCAGGCATTAGATTAAAATATAATCTATGATTTTGTAACCAATCTCTTGCGATGAAGTGTCGGTTTCCGGCACTTGTATACTTTTCTCTAAGCATCCCGCCTGTAAAGTAAGCAAATTGCTGTTCTAATATATCATTATTTTTATTTTTTACCTGGGCTTGCCCACTAGACAGAATATTTATTTATTTCAAATGGTAGACTTTATGATAGTTATCATAAGCTCTTTAGGTAACTTCGGGCTTCACGGAGACTAGACAAAATATTTTGATAGCGATGTAGACAAATATACCAATTTAAGACAAATGATTGTTTTTGGAAGGAAGTTGACAAATAATATTTTTTTTCACCATTATTGACTTTTATTGATACCAAGTTATTTCATTATAAATGCGATCTTCGTATCCAAACATCATTTACTTTGGCAAGAACTAAGGGCATAATTTAAAGCTAGCTTGTTTTAGATCTTCCACTGGAAATATTCTGATTTGTTTTATATTCTCAAGCAAGCTCCTATCAAAAACATCCATGCGATGTGTATTCGAGAAAACAGGGATATACTTCGGATGCATCATTTTATGTTGCTCATTACCACATTATTTGAGTGAATTCAATCGCATAACATCAATTCTCATCAACCCATTAGACCTTTTACGATATGATAATAATGGGTGAGATTTGTACTTTCCATTGGCTATTTATCACACTCTTATAAATATATTTTCTAGCCATTTTGCCGGAGTATTATTAACTTATTTTGTTAGCGGCATTATTATATGCATCATGCATTGCCTTGATTTGCAATTCGGTATTAAATCCACATTTTATATATATATATATATATACTTGCCAATATTTGTAGTATTCAATAATTGAGTTTAATGTCTGTTCATTTGGTTAATTTAATTAAGCTTGAAAAATTTACATTTTGAATGCATACTTAGAGGGCTTCAATAATTTATCGAGTTACTTATTATTTCAAGCTTGCTTTAAATTAGACAATGTGAGAGAATTTTCTAATGAGTAAGCAAAGTATATTTAAAGGATCGATATTAAATCATTACTTAAACAGGAACAATTTGAGATCTTTTATAAAAGCAATATTGATAAGAGCACAAAAGTCGTAATAAATTGGAGTTGTGATGGTCGCAATGATGTCAAAATTGATTTGAAATCGGTAATCAATATATTGAAATAGCTGTTCATTATCACTTAGATTTATTTAAAATTATTGGATCATATATTTCATGTTTTCAACTTTTGCCATGAACATTGAAATGTCAATTTCATTTCCAGATTTGCTCTATTTATTGGCAAATCCATTGCACGATTCCAACAGCAACTAAATG